AGGACGACAGGCAAGGGAACAAACCTGAAACCCAAGGGGGCATGTCGCTAAGGGAGGAGCGTTTTACTCGAGGAAGCAGCTGTCACAGAGCAGAGTGGAAACGGCCGAAGCCCCCCGGCCCCTCGCAGAGGGTGGCAACGCAGAGGTTTGCTTTCGGATGGGGGGCGGGGGGAGAGGGGGGGCGTTCCCCCGCCCCGGCCCGAACAGCAGCCAACAATCTGGTCCGTTCCAAAGAATCTCTCTACCCTTGGCTCTGAGCCTTCCTCGCCTGCCCCCAAACCCCCCCTTTTCTAGTGCAAAGGCCAAACCGACAACTGGACGCGGGAGCTCTGGTGGGAGGCGGGGGGGCTCTGAGGGGACGATGCTGATGGGAACTCCTTACTCATTAATGGCAACGAGTGGGTAAGGGGTGAAATACGGCGCGACAGGGAGTAGGGGTCTGCAGCGCTGCAAGCTTAGAACGACAAGCTTTACTCATTGTACATGTTGTACAGGACAGAGCTACTGCTCTCAGCAACTCCTGTTCTGACACGACTGACCCGTCGGACTCTCTAGTTCGGCTGGGCTCCAGGAACAAGCGTCATTCCCACGCTCCCGGTGTCCGCGCGTCACAGCCGGTCCATCCTGAACGTGTCCTCTGTGGCGGGGGCGGTGGGGTCGGTGAGGACCATGTCTGGGTCATTCAGCATGTGCAGTCCATCCAAGGTTAAAGGGTCAATTTTGAGTTCATCCAGAGGGAACTGGGAATCCGTATCAAAGCTGACGTCTCCCACTCCTGCCAAAGAGCTGGTCAGTTCTTTTGATAAGCTGGGAGGAGATTCTCCTGTCACTGCAGGGAAGAGGAAGGGAAAGGTGTCGGCAGGACTTAGCAAACACACATTCTGCAGGCAGACGAGTCACAAAACAGCTTGCAAAAATTCTGCAATAATTTATTGAACCAAGGCTGAAGTTCAGATGAGAAACATTTCCAGCTGGATGAATTACAGATTTGTCAGAGTATCTCAAAAGCATATAATGGCCTAACACAAACCAAAATTGATACACATCTATTTGGGGGCCACAAAGCAGTGTCGCTTCAGTCTCTTCCCCCCGCTTAGGTTTAGGAGCAATAACCTTAATTTAGGTGATCCTAATCAGCAGTCCTTGGCTGAAATATGGATCGAGCTATGGTTTTCTCAGTGGCCTGTGCAGAAATTGTTTCCAAACGTCCAACCGTGACCAGATTCGCTACCATATGCGACACTTAAAAAATCCTTCGTTGGCAAGCTCCAGCGGAGCAGCAGAGGAAGAAGTTCGGCTTTCACCGCTTCTCCCTCGCTGTGACAGAGGATCCAGTAAACTCAGAGGCAGGGCAAGTCTGTAAGACAACGAGCGCTGCCTTCGCAGCTCTACCTGTTTGCTGGGATTAAACGAGAGCCATCAGGCTCCCCGGCACGCGGGGAATACGCCAGAGCAGCAGCACCAACGTTTACGCAAGGTGAAACAAACCCTTCAAAGGCAAGGATACCCTTTTCCTTTCTTGGCTCACTCCTAACGTTGCACAATGAAGAGAAACCACCGACACCGGGACGGTTTTACTTGTCGGTTAAGTCTGTGGTTTTCTTACCTGTAAGAATGATGTTGGGGATGTTTCCATGGCTGGAGTAATTCAGCTGCTGCGAGTCCTGCAAGCTGCCATGACTGCCGGTAAGTCCCATCATGGCTGCCTGGGAGTAGTTAAGGGTGGAACAAGGGCTGTACAGGCTGTTGGAACTAATGGCGTTTTCTATCATATTAAACTGTTCAAGCTGAAGACCAAGGCACAAAGGAATTATTACTTCCAACCATCAGGAAATACAGCAAAACAACTTACAAAGCTCAAGTAGGGGAGGTAATGTTGAAAGAGACAGGCAAACAAATTCATCTTTAGGTTTCGTTGACAAAATATAGTCTATTTTCACTAAACTTTCCAGAATCGTTTACTGCCAAATTCAGAGTGCAGGGGAATGAGGAGAGGGTGGATGCAAAAACAAAACCTGTTGCTTTTGATATTGTAAGAACAAAAGAAAAGGTAGTTCTAAAACAAAGTAAAAAACCCCATAATTCATGCTGCCAACTCAGGTATCTGCCCCTCGAGCACTGCCTCCCAGAAGCGCTCTCGTTTTCTCCTGCTACCAGAGCAGATTTCACAGTGGAACGAATCAACGCGCTGGTCGGCCGAGCTAACGAAGGCATGGGTTCTGCTTGCTAGGTTTTGGTACCGTGAGCGAGTTGTTTGCCAAATTCAGGAGTAAATATTGTTACCACCTACAAGTGAAACCTTCCCAAATGCAATTGCGGACAGAGATGTGGGGTTTTTTTAAATTTATTTTCATTATTTTTAATCCAATAAACTTGGCAGAACACCTCTAAAAACATCTGCTACAATGGCTAAGAGGGAGGAAGGGGAAGGAAGAGTCGGGGGAAAAAGAAAAAGAAAAAAAAAAAAAAAAACAGAAGAAAAGAAATCCCCGAGAATTGTAAACTCAAAATAACAGAAGTAAAACTATATGGACAAAATGTGATCTCACATAAAATAATCAGAAGTTGATCTATATTTATTTTAAGCTGAAAGTGGCCGAAATATAGCTGAAAATCTGAGATGAATTTGCTCACCTGATGGGATAGGGCATTAGCCTGCCTAGCTGTCATCTGCTGATCATAATAGGAGTCACCAAATACACTCCCCAGAATGGAAGAATGCTGAAAACAAAACAGAGTCTTTATGGTGCAAAAATCTCACAAACAGACGTACCCACGGTGTGCGAGTGACTCGAGCCTTCCAACCGATTCTTCTCCAAGTTAGTTAGCAGCGCCCTTTATTATTACCAACCACTAACCATCGGCAAATTCATAAAATATTCAGTGTTTCCCGCCAAGACACAAATCCTTCCACGTTACGCTGCCTTTCGGTAAGCACAAAAACACAGTCAGGTAAACCAAACAAACTTCCTCACGGAGGACATACAACATAGAAAACTTCTGGTTTATGAAAACAGACGAGTGCGCTAGGTAACACGAGAAATAATAATAAAAAAAATTAATTAAAAAAACCAAACCCACTCTGCAACTTCAGCTTTTTTGTGAACTTTTGTTTTGGGGGGTGAAAGACAAACCCCGCACGGAGGTAAACTGCACGTTAAAACAAAATGCAATGCAAAGCTGACCACCGGCACGCCAGTAGCGGCTAGCTCACTGTCTCTGCATCCTCGTGTTCACGGAGCAGCCAACTCCCCCGAGACAGCACCACGCCAAAATAAAACGGACATTTTAAAGTCACTTCACTTTAGCTGCAGATCAGAAAAGTTAACGGGAAAGCCCGGTAAAGCATGTTATCAGCAGTTCGAAGGCAAGAATCTCAGGAGGAATTCCTCAGCCTTGCTAATTTTACTGTCCCCTCTAGCACGACAAGCACTTATCAGTTATTCTCCATCATTTACCAATTATTCTAAAGGTGACCAAGAATTTGAGGTCAACTTTTCCATGCTATTCAGTACTGTCCCAAAGAAGTGCCAGATATAAAAGAAATCACAGAGAGATCACTTCTTATTTGAAACTGTCACAAATTCTGACGCTCCAGCTGGAAAAAAAAAAATCTGCTAACAAAGAGGGCACCTATAAAAGATGATGTCTGTGAAAGACAATTTCCATGGAGAGTTTCTATCAATCTTGGAAAAAAAAAAATTCAATACCTTGCAGAGCATTTTCCAGCCGTTTTATCTACGCATTAAAAGAGGAAGGCTGCAAGTTTTCTCCTTAGAAACCTAATCAGCATATGAAGTTAAGCAAAAGCCTAGGAAATATCAGAGCAGAGTTACAACAGCCACCGCAGTTAAAAGCACTGAACACAGCCAAAGATTAAGATACTCAAAAAACCACAGGATGATGTCCACAACAGTGAACATAAGAATTTCAGCAACCATCACATTTTAAACATTCTCTCTCCTACGTCAGTAGCATATCTCAGTGCAGCTTATTTGCAGTTTGCATGCAAGGAAAAGAATGGAAGTCTTGTATTAAAAAAAAAAAAACAAGTGACTAAATTGCCCACAACCTCAATGAGAGGGGACTATCAGGAAAGAAGCAACAATATATTCTTTTTAAAGCAAACAAAACCTTCCCACCTGCAGCCAGAATCCTTGGCTATCACGTTATATGGGTGCTTTTGGATAAATGTGCCATCAGGGGAGGAATTTACAGCCCGAGAATGAGACTCCGTGGGGGAAGGTGGCTGAAAGTTCAGCCGCGCGTGCTACAAATCTCCTTGCTGAGCAGATCCCGTTTGATCCAAGAACCGCTCCGAGCATCGCGGCGAAGCGCTCTCCACCGCTGCGTGCGAGGGTGCGGGTACGGTCTGAATGCACGTGGAGAGGAGAGAAATGTGCTGCAGAGCAGCGCTGCTGGGTAACATCAGCACCCGGAACACAAGCCTGGCGGACCTCCACGGTGCTGCATTTAAAGCACGATACTGGCAGTCAGAAAGGTAGCAGGCAACTGCCTCCAAACCTTTGTCAGAGCAGATCGTAACGGTAACTTCTCAGTAAGAAATGGTTTAACTAAATGAAGGCAGCTCATCCTTCAAGACTGATTAAACGGAGCCTGAGCCAAGAACAGGGTTTTATGGACAAAAAGAAGATTTTGGTTCACTTTCCTGGGCATTTATGATCTGTCACAGCAATCACCACAGAACAATAATGACATCTTTGCAGCTTAACACCCTACTCGATGCCCTCAGAAGCGGGTAAAAATGGAAAATGGTTGTAATTGGAACCAGTCTTCCAATTTATCATCTGGTCCTCAAAACCACGGTGGCTGCTCTATCCCTCGCAAAGGACGGGGCTACGGGGAAGTTACCAAACAGCACAGGCAAGAGCCGCGTTACACCTGACAAGAGAAAAAGCAAAGCGCTACTTAAATAAAAAACCCCACGCTTTTCTTTAAACCACTGATACCTTACTTGCTGCCCAGCCACACATTGACCAACTACTCAAACTCCACATTATTCAACCTGCTACATGTGTTACTTTTCTTAAAAAAAACCAAAAGGAGTCAGAACCTAGAGCTAACTCAAGCAAGCAGATCAGGACCAGCCAAGCTTAACTCTATCACAGGAAAATCGTTCCCATCTTAAGGGGCAGGCATGGCTTCAGAGCTGCGTGATGTTTTATAACAACTTCTAATGAAAAATTTGGGCTTCAGGATGTCCCATACTCAACGTGAATCAAAGCCAGTTTGGACCAGCACCAGAAATACAACTGATGTTTTTGAGAGCTCCAAAGAGGATCAGGGTGGTTCTTTCCTTTAACTTCTGACATTTCATTTTTACAGGAGCTTTTCAGAAGTAGGGCAAAACCTAAAACCTTTGCATTCCACTAAGCACTGTTCCCGTCCTAAAAAGTTTGGGCAACAATAATGAACACAAGACCCAAACCTATTTGTGCAAGTCTACCTTAGTAACCCCTAACAAAACATACAAGCCCGTATTTATTCCTCAGCTCTGAAGTATCCCGGTTATTACATCTGTAAGCACTGAAACTCCCAAAGGAAATCAACTGGAAATGTCGTTACTTCAACACTTCAGAGTCCTAGAATAATTTATCAACAACTCTGTGAAAAACATCTTGCTAACACCATCTCCTCCAGAAACACTAGATGAGGTCTGTTTTGTCAACAGTACATCTTCTTGGGTTAATGATGTGGTGACTGCAAGAAAAAAAACCCCAAACCACAAAACCCCTGGCTTAAATTATTAATCTCAAAATACATACCATATTATCCAAGTATACAGCCATTCTACTAAAAAAAGCAGATTTCTATCTAATTGGAACACTATGCCAGGTGTTAGAGGAGAAAAGCGAAGTAGTAATAAACAAGCCATTGTCAATGAAAAGCCATGCAAACACAAAGCTGAGAACTACAAGCAGAGCTTTTCAATTCGTGTTTGAACAGGAAGACCTTCATATAACAAACACACGTCCAAAACACAAGAGCAAATAGATCTGGAGATGTGGAAAGATGAAAAATAACTTCTGGTGAATGAACCGTATGTGATAAAAAAATCAAACCACAGATTTCTATTTTTAGAGCGTGTCACTCATCATACTGATACGCTGCGGAACGATTTAACCTAAAATTAATCAGAGAAACAGGAGCAAGTGGAGGACGCCCACCCGGTCACACCTACTTTATTCCGCTCTTGTCAGCCAGTGCCAGACTGTTCCACAATGGGCATATTCTGCTGTTGGAACCAATCTGCCTTTCCTCTTTTGGCAGATTACTCTACAGTCTAATGGATCCTGCTATTTGGGAGCTGAACCAACCCAAATTTTTCTTCTGAACTGTTTTTTCTTTCCCCACTGCCTCTCTCCATTGCAACCACGACAGATAGCTCGCTCGCCCCTACCAGCTTTTGGTTCATTGATGGAGGCAGGAAAGCTGTCTCGTTTTTAATTTAGCAAAAATAAAGAACTGTGTGGGTATTTTTAAGAGGCCAACGCTAAGTTAAGTGGCATTGATAAACCCTCTTCCTTTCGCGTGTGAGTTATGGTGTCCCACTTGAAAACAGCAAAACCTAAGCAAGAGTTTACAGGATAAAACAGGCCCAGCAGGAAAAAAATTATATTATAGCGTGTGCTCCACTGGGGAGTGCTTGCTGCACTCCAGTACTTTGGACTGACCAGTGGCAACAAGCCTGTGGACAAAACCAAGAAAGGGTTATTGAGAAGTCAAGGGGGAAGGAAAATCAGCGCAAAAAATCAAAATTGGATGCGTTGCCCAAACGAGAACTGGACCTGAGATTTGCAGCAAGACTGGCAACAGCTTTGCTCTACAAGACAGCCTAGAGGAATAAGTTTGCTTGTTTTCTTTGAGCCACACACAGAACACAGCAGAACTGGCAGAAGCAGGCAGAAGAGAGAGAAGTTAAGAAGCAATTAAGCAAGGGTTAAGAAAATCCAGACAGTCCTGACACTCGGATCTATTACTGAGCTTACCAGTGACCTGTCTCTGGCTAATGGCAAGGAGAGACGAAGCTTCTGCTTTGGAACCATGAAGGGGCAGCACTTATTTAGATAGGATCCTCCTTACAGCCTTAAACGTTAAATGATGAAACAGAAAATGTATTTTCAGACTCTGTTGTGATGTTCTGGAATAATTTCCTGCACCTTGTTTCTACAGGTGGGATTTAGGAAAAGGGCAGCCATATGGAGCTATTTTAGCAGCATGGGATTATTTCCGTACTGAAAATGCACTCACTCCTTACATTAGGGGCACCCCCAAAGACTGCCTTGTTTTCAACTGTCTTGCTGCTAGCATATAAAAATTCCCCTTCATAGGATTACACACACACCAAGCTACAACTTGCATATAGGACGCGTGGATGTATGAGTAGATACATATACAGGAAGAAAAACCAGCTAGCATGCAAGAAAGCGTGTTTACTAACCCACTACTTGCAAGCCACAAGACGCAACAGCTCATTTTAAGAGCGTTTTCTTTCCAAGTGGATGTTCCCACGTAAAAAAAGGTCCTGATGCGAATGGATTTGGCCACACAAGGGATACTCAGTGCCACAGGAGTTACCCTGCTGCAGCAGGCACTCAAGCTTCCCTCTCTCCCCTGCCCTCCCAACCTTATCCGTCAGCTCCTACGCGATATTGCTAATTGAAAGGGAGGTTCTGTCCACGGTACACCCCAAAGAAATAACTGGGTTTAATTGCTTTCAAATAGTAGCTTTGATCAATAAAAAGGCAATTCACCAGCTATTGAAAAACTCTGGAACTGAATGAAACCGCAAACAAGATGAGACATCAGTAATGCATGAGGCACATACAATTACAGTGAGACAACTATGGGTCAGTAATGGAGAGACTCAACTAAAAACAAACACGAGAAGCAAGGCCTGTGGAAGCACAGAGTCCCTTACTTGAGGGGAGCTGCCAGGAGAGAAGCCTTGATTGGAGACAGGAGAGGTGGGAGACTGGTTGGCTGGGGATCCAGCATTACTGCGGTACTGCTGGAGTGAAGCCTACAGAACAACACAGAATTAAAGACCATGGGATTGATGGAAGGTTGGAAAATTATAAACTTCTGGCGTACACAGCTCGAGGAAGCTGGGAGAAACCATCCTCTTCAGCAACTCTTGGCTATGTATGAAGACACGATTACTGTGAACAATGCCGCAAAAAGGAAAGAGTTACGATACCAGCGTGGCATGGTCTTGTCTGACTGAATGGCCGAGAGCAGGGCGGTGCTGTTGTACAAGCAAAACTGTTGAGATGTTTTCTCACTGTTCTCAGTTACGATCAATTAAAAAAAAAAAAAATTCTGGTCAGCCAATGATTTAGGGAAAAGTAGTACTGAGAGCTGGGAATAACTAAAAAATAATGTAATTTATTCTTCAATTCAGCTGCCATACCCACACATTCTTAACCTGTGTTTACACTGCTCTGGAAATCCTGCTCCTATTACTCTGCCTAGTCTTAAACAGCCCGGGTGCGTTATCAAGATTGAAGCGTATAACCATGCAGACTGGAATCCTTCCCAAAGCTGCATTTTACCCCAGGACGTGGAACAGACATTATCTGAGAATTCACACTATGTTTTGCAGGTTTACATTAGTTACGTTTACATTGCTCTCAGTCGCCCTGAGAACACATTGTCAAAGATTTACCTTTTTTTAGTCATAAAGAACCCCGGCTTTGAACATTTTAATAATCTTAATGGCATTTAAATAGAATGTCGCGCTAATTAACATAAACAGAAAGTATAGTTCTTCTCATGGTACTTCCTTTAGAAATTAACAGATGATTGAGGAAAACCTGCAATCCGGTAGTTCTAAGAAAAGAAGTAATTTAATCACATAGCTTTGCAGCATGGGAGAACGTTGTACTACCACTGCTTTCTGACACTGAATTCTGTAAGTCTCACGAAAATACGTCTTAACCCTTTTTGCTATGCATTGCTACTTACGCACTTTAAGCAGACATCCAAACTACAGCAAAATTATTTCAATTTTGCTTTACAAAAACTGCATAAAAGTTGTCGGTGAGACTGTAACGCAGCTCAAATGGCTTTTTGATAAACTAGCTTTAAATTTAAGTTTATTTACGATTTTAGTTGCTTTAAAAGATAAGCACAGCACCCTAAAAGTTAAGGTCATAAAGAAGTTTAGGATGAGGAAAGCAACACAGAAAGCAAAGAATGAAAATCAGAATCATCTGTACTGGTAGCTACATGAGTATTAGAATCAAAACATTCAGACACGTTTTGAGTGGGTCAGTATCCTTTCCACTGTGGGATTTGAGCTTCCTCTTCCCCTTCCAATCCTGAAAGGGAAGCAGCTTCTTTCAAGAAGCGCTTAGCAGCACAAACTGTTAAAAATTTCATCCACAAATGAAATCCACGATCAAGTGCTAGATCGACAGACAATGTGTTCTTCTCATTCTCGCGCCAGTCAGTCACTCCAACACTGCCAGAAGGACCCAACAGGTCAGACAACAGAGATCCTATACAGCAGGGCAGAATGAGCAGAGAAGGAGCTGTGAAATTCCTCCCTAGCTGGCCTGTAACCCTGATCTTGCTCTGCATTTTGGATTTTCATGGGCAGAGACACACGCCATTTCGTAACAGACCATGTCAAAACAAGCAAAAAAAGAAGCCTGTCCATAAATCATTGCTACGTGTGTGCATACACTCCATTTCTTCTGGGCATCTGAAGGCAGCCACGAATCCAATTTTTGCAGATCATAATGTATGCTCTAAAATTCTTTAAAATGAAAGGGTTCTAAATATAGAAAGTATAAGAAAATACCTGGTTCTCTCCAACTTTTGGAAAATGCTTGTTAGCAGGTTTCTTTATCAAAGTTCTGTTAACTCCTCCAGTCTATAGCACACTGTATAACATACAACGTGTTGCGGGTGCATTACATTTAACAGCCTGAAAATATATCAGTGCAACAGCAGCAGCAAGGTATGAAATAAATGCTGATATATTTAAGCGGATCTAATCAAACACGGAGTCGTAAGGGACACCGTTCTATGAAACTATGGCCACCCTAAGTGTACACTAAAACCAAATTTTCCTCTATAAAACATTTAAACGTGGATTCAACCAAAACCATTCTAAGACTACTTGAGGCTCTGCCTAAAAGTATACTTATTACACGGGCTGTCCAGCTTGAACGCTGACGCTACGCTGTATGCTACCAGGTTTTCCAAACGAAAGCTCTGCCATTTTCGGCTGTGCCCAAGCTTACCGAGTTGATGTCTATTCCCATTGAGGGCTGGGTCTGGCTACCCGGAGGCGACTGTGGGATGGTAGAAGGTACCGTGACGGAGAGTGGGGGGAGTTGTGTTCCTCGCTGTAAACCAGAGGTCTGCATTAAAGGAGTGTTCTGAGGCAGGGTGCTTGCCACCTGGGTCTGCTGCTGTTGCTGGGAAGTTGTCTGGGTAAAAAACGGATATGGGGGAAGCTGCTGCTCCAGAGACAACGCATCCATAGCCACGGCCTTAAAAAGAAGAATCAAAATCACCCACGCTGGCAGGTAATTCCCCTTCATTTTCAAGCACATCAAGTTTCACAGCAAGAGAACCAAGTCAATCTTGTCTTGCATTTAAAAAACATTACCTAAAGGTTCAGCAACAGTCAAGAACATGTTTCAAAAGACTTAATATCACCTCCAGTCTACAATAAACAAATTCTCTAAAATTTGTTGAATGTCCAGGTTAGAAATTGATAACTTAGTCAGTCACAGAGTCACACTTATGAAATCAATTTAAAAAGCTAATTGAGCTTCTCTCATGAATTAGAGAAATGTCTTTGAAATTTCACAACTAACCTTGGGACAACAGTGTTACAGAAAAGTGTCCTAATAGATGGCTTTTACCATGGTTCTAGAAAAGCGAAAGTAGACTCTGTCCCCTCTACAAACCTCTCCCTTTTTAAGGCTCTGGATTAATGAACACATTTAAAGAGGAAAATGACAGAACGAGAGAGATGAAGTTACAGCCAGCTTCTCCCTAGGTAAAATAATTACTCTGTGATTGAAAAATTTTAATTCTCCCAGCAAGTTCCTACCTGAGTAATGGGTGACAAAGGGGAAAGCGTAGGAGACATTTGCTGTGACTGTGGTCGTCTTGAGTCTGCACTCAATGAGAGAGGACTGACGGCTGGCTGACGGTGCTGCTGGGAAGGGGCTGGCGTCGTCGTCATTCCTGCAGGAAGGAACAAACCAACTTAAACGGGAACAGAGCAACGGTCTGTTGATACTTGTGTACAGGTAATTACCTAAATGATGAAAAATGAACGGCCTAAGTGGACAACCACTTAATGCAAAGTGCTGAACGCGCCTCGGCCAATCAGGCTGAAACTCATTAGCTAATTTGCAATTAATTTTGTCAGGCTGAAGAGCATCAGGATGAGAGGAAGATCCCCGCGGTTTATCTTGGACCAAAACCAGTCACAGTTGTTCAGGTTCGTGCACAGATATGGACTTAAATATGCAGAGCAGCGTCAGCGGTTTATAGAAACCACAGGGCATCGTTCTCACACACCTCCCGGGCTGCACGCACTGACCCCAGGAGAAGCACACTCTGCTCTATTTGCAAGGGCTCAAACTTCAGGAAGAAGATAACAGATCATGTAACAAGACTAATCAGAGGGCACTTGCGATATTATAAAAGCAAACACCTATTTAATGGAAAATGCAGAAGAAAAACTGGTTACACAGGAAGTACTCCATTTTTAATGGCATACCAGTGCACAGGAAGGCAGGAAATATCCTTTACACTCTAAAGAACCACGACCTAGCAGGGGGTAGGGATAAACAATCCAACTATTGTAGTTTTGTTCAAATTCAAGACAAAAATCTGGAAGTTTTGAAACCTCTCCTATTTTCTGCCTCACCCTAGAGGAACTGAGACACCCTGGAAAGTGATTTCAGGACAATCTAGCTAGCGAGCTGTTCTTCTAGAGCTGCCAGAAAGGAGGAATTCACAAGAGCCTGCGAGCTCCTAGGCACCTGGCAAATGTTCAAGGCTTCCAGGCAGGCTGCCAGGGAGCCAGGAAGTCCAGGCTGCCAAGGAGCCAGCAGGCAAACTGGCTCAAACCGCGCAGATTCTGAAGACTGCCTGGCTTCCCCTGCAATGTTTTCAAAATCAACACCGTCTCACGGAACATGTCAGCGAACTGACAAACTCAAATGCACAAATGTGTAGTCTTAAGTTGCTGGCAGTTCTTTGTAACCTGACAGGTGTTTGCTTCCCCACCTTTTCTTGGGGCTGCTGGGGGCACGCCTGTGCAATGCACAGAGCTCCTGCAAAAGGGTCAAAAGCCTTTACATTTTCTGCTGGAGAGCTAGAAGATAGAGAGAGGCAAGGAAGGTTTGGAAAAATCAGTTCAAAAAAGCACCAAACACTGACTATGCCAATGATTAAACTATGGGATAGTCTCCAAAGAGAAACAGGAAAATCATCAATGAGTCTATCTTTTTAATTCATGTCTTTGATAGATCAGGAAGCGTTTTCAAAGCAACTCTATACTTACTGGTTTGGTTTTATACCGTTCACTTTGCTAATTATGGGTACGGCAAAAAATTTAGCGACCCAGTCTGGCCTAACTGCATGCAAGTAGTTTGTTTCTTTTTATACACACAACAGCGCTCGCAGCACAGACTCTCAGTGACAGCCCATCTCTGAAACTTTGTACAGTCTCTTCCGAGAGCAGAAAACTCATCAAAAAGATGCTGCAAGCTGCTGGCCTACTCTGTACTCAAATGGTTAAACCATCTTCTTGCTTCATTCTTTAATATAACTGCTCAGTCATAACACTACATTAACCTGATTACAATTACTTCCTTTTCCCAATATATGAGAGAACTTTTAAGTGGGTAAGGGAATCCTGTCTAACACAGGAAATACACTTGTATTTTTGGATACAGCACCTTATTTCTATTCTAGGAAATCAACTGACTGCAACTGTCACTGACAATGAAAAAATGCAACCCTCTTCACAACTATTCTTGAGTACAACCCAGTGAGATTATTTAAAAGACAACAATCACCAGCTTAAGCTATTTGCCTGTAATGTTAACAAGTCCTGAAGTTATCAGCTGATCAGTATGAATACTGTAAATGCCAGCCTGGCAAATAATGTTTGTTTGTGGATTTGGTTGGTTGGTTGATTTTTTTAAATAGTTGTCAGTATTGGCAAAGTCCAAAAACCCCAACAAACATAACTCAGACTCACCATGCTGAACAGCTCAAACAGCACTCAGGAAGAGCTTGCAACAAAAACTACACTGCTAGGAAGGCAACAATTTCAACACAAAGGCACCGTAGTGAGAGCTGTGAGATATCAAGGTGCGTACTTGGTATTGTTTCCCAAAGCCCAGCTATATTATATAGCCTGAATATTCAGGATATTTTCAAAACTTAAGCAGCCAAGCTTACAAAAACTAGCACACCTTGTAAAGGTTCCACGTTATTCTTGATTGCTCAAAAAAGAAAATTTGCTTCGGATGAAGCAAGCAATGTTCTCTCTCCAAAAGAACCCTCACACTGGAAAAAAAGACATTCTAAAGGAATGAAAACAAAAGGCCTACTTAAGATATTTCGATAACACAAGTGCTGTTGGGGTCAAGTACAATGAAGTACAAGGGAGGCACACTTTGGATGCTCTTCTCTCCTGTAATCTTATACATAAAATAAACAAAAAAACCCCAAACCCAAACCAGCAGATTTGGGCACCAAGAACGTGAGAAAAAATGAAAGACAATTTGTAACTCATATAACTAAATACAGCTTTCTCACTTTTTCATACAGAAATGGCTTGATAGAACTTGTTTACAAAGAAATGTCAATCAACAGCGAAGTGCAATTACCTCTCAGACAAAACAGTCATACCCAGCAATGCAACTTCTGTAATTTAAGACAAGTGACATATTATGGACAAACTGTAAAAACACCTCAGTTAGGATCTTACCCTGATTGGCAGTGCTGATGCCCAAGTGAGTCAGATTGGCAGCAAGATTTCCGGTGCTATTGGAGCTACTCAGGGCTGGGAATGTGGATTCCTCAGGATCTAACGGTGTCGGGAGAGGGGAAGGGAAATGGATGTTTGTCAGGTCTGGCAGGGAGCCGCCTGTGTTATGCGTGGCAGGAATCAGTGTTGTAGTGTTTTCCTGGTCAGCTGATGGAAAGATGCTAAGGAAGGGAGAGAGGGGGAAGGAAAAAAAAACAAAGACACATCTCAATTTAAATTTCAGCCTGGACAGATCTTTATAAAATCTATTTTAAAAAATGAAGGTGTCTTATACAGAATTATATATTGTATTTCTGATAAAACAGAGATGTAATAGCCAGTGGTTTACTCATAGAGGTCCGGGCTTGTCTTTTATCTATTGTGCTGTTATACCGTCTAAGGGCTTTTCAGAAAACTCAAAAGCAAGACAATGTTCAATATACAACATTCTTTCTTCAAGATCTCAATGCTCTTTAAAAAAAAAAAAAAAAACAAAAAAAAAAAAACCAAAACCATTGCTTAAAACTTACTTGATTCCTGGAACTTCACATGATTTAGGTCTTGATGACCCAGTCTAAAATAGAAGGAAGACATTTTTAAAGGCAAAGATACTGCTAGAGATTAATGTTCAGGATATATTTCAATTAGTAAGTTTTATTTAATTTAATACATTTCTACAGAAGAGCTATTCTTCTACACAAGAGCTCTGTGAAGCTCTTAGAAGATATCTGTCACCTTTTTTGCTTTATTGGCCCAAGGAGGCTCCAATTTTAAGAGTTTCTCCTGATATAATCAAACGTGTGCATTCACACATACCTATAAAGTGCCTTTCTGATCTAATGTTTAGTGATTTGTTGCTAAATACAGCATTTAATCTCTAATCTCTGCAAGTAGTTTGTCTTGGTTGACAATAGAGAATTAATTTACCTAAATATGTTTAGAAAGTAAAATCTCTACACTTTGAAATGTGAGATTCCTACCTTTTTAGTGTCCCATCCTTGCTTAGAGAGGGTTTTGTCTGCCTCAGAGGTGGTTTCCTCCATTCCAGGGACAGTCAGTAATAGAACTAAAAAAAATGAGAACAAAAGGAATCATAGGATAATATTAAGCTTCTCAGTAAGAAATTTTCAGATTGGAAGTTTAACCATTTGAAAACTCTTAAGTAACCCATTATCAATGAATATGAAACAGTGGCACTCCACTGTTATGAGACCAAAATTTAAAATACCAGACACCAGAAGAGACTAAAATTGTATTAATTAGCAAGGAGATGACATCAGCTTCAAAAAAACCCCCAAACAGTACTTCAAAAAAATTTTGGCCTCCAATTTAGTCTGCTTAGATCTAAATGGAAGACTGTATCTTGGGACCCAGTTTTTCCTATCTTTTGCATTTTGCACAAGTGATGTACACCTGGTACATCTAATGGGTGGCCAATAGGACAATTCCAGTGGGGAAAAATCCAGACCGTGTCCCCTAGGATAGAGCAAGCTGTTACTTCTCCATATTCCAAGCACATTCGTTTGTTCAAAGCAATCAACTGTTTCATCATGCTAATAGCACGGTGACAAAGAAACATCAAAAGAAAGCTCAGTCAGAGAGATGTATCAACAGAAGCCTTTCACACTGATGACTACAAATCCGTATTTATGCAACACCATTTAAGATGATCATTAATTAATGTTTTACAGCTCTAGAAGTATATGGCAGAGCTGCAGTACAGTGCATGTGCACCTGAGTGTTGCGTGTTCACCTCTCTCTGGGCGGTTGTTCAAGGATTACATTTCTCTACAGAGATTTAAGAGCTTTTTAATGTATTTCTTGAACTGACAGCAGGAACAAGGGCCAGCAGAGGGCACCAGAATTGTTAGTGCCGGAGGGCTGCGCTGCTCCAGCTCCTAACTGGAAATATTATCAGAGACTATTGTTTGTAAGCATTGCCTCTGAGGGTATACTCACCGGGGATCTCAATCCCATAAATAAAAACTAGGTGAAGTCTTGCTACTTTACGATATTGTATCACTGACCACAAAATGCCTGTGATCTCTACATTTGCCTAGAAGTTACTACAAACTGCAAACCTCTAGTACCACTGAGAGCAGTCTAACCACCAGAGTCCCACAAGCCCAGATTACTTTTCCCCATAGGGCAAGGTCTTAGAATAACAGAATACGGGGTTCAGGAAAATGTTCTAGCTTGGCTTTGTATAATCTTTTCTGGATCTCAGTACCCAGAAGAGTAAATGTGGTCCTTTGTTCCAATTCCTGCCTAACTGAATCTAGAAAGTGTTACGGATACCTGTATTTATAGAAACAGATGAACATCAATACACGTGCATATAATCTGAAGTACAATGCTTTGAATGTTACGAATATTTTTACTGTTTTTCTCTGTTTACCTCTTTTCTGCTGCATGTCCTGTGACCCTCCTGAAAAGGAATCTTGTTGAGCTGGAGTCATAGTACTCTGGTGCAAGGCAGAATCGGAATTTGTCCTGAAAGGAAGGCAAAACCAACATTTTTATTATCAGTTTCCCTAAATAAAAGAATGCTTAATCTCAGATAAATGTAACCAACTCAGTAAACCCTGAATACTCTGCATTAAAAACCCGAAATCTATATATGGCATATACCAGGCACCACTTCCTCGTGAAACAATCAATTCTCAGAATAAATTAGTTCAAGTTTGAAGAGCAATTGTTTCAATAATGGGATTGAGAGGAATACAGGATAAATCAGTTGCCATCATTAGAAAATAATTTGATATGCTTTGTTAAGATTACACATGATCAAATAACGCAATTTTTAAGTTGAAAGCTGCTTATACATATTTTGGTTATAGTAGTCTTTGAAAAGAAAGCATCCCTGTTTCGTAGGGAGGGAAAATGACTGGTTCAGGATGCGTGTACATTGTGGAGATGGGAACCTCCACGGTCAACACGTCTCTCGTGATGAACTGTCCTTCGCTCGGGAACGTCGGCCGCCACTTGGGCAACTCGGCACCTCCAGTGCCAGGAGCATGAGGGGTAGGAACAGCCAGCTCGGTGCTCCTTTCCACTCGAACGCTTGTGCAGGCCGACTAGCCCAGCCTCTGCACAGTGAGAAATATCCAAGTTTTTTTACAACTCAGCAATTTTGGGGTATGCCTTAGAACACCTGGCAAGATTTACCCTCAAAAAGATCACATTGGCTGACACACTTTAAGTTTAAAAGCAGGTCATCTAAAAGAATAAGCATAATGGAAGGAAAAAAAAAAAATCAATTTCTAAATTCAGGAAGTCGTGGCAATTCAGATGACCAACTGCTGTGGGGAATAATAAAGGCCTTTGTTGCACATGAGAGTGCTGTAGTATCAGAGAACGCAGCGCAAATACTAACACACATGCACACGACTGTGCTACTAACCTTCTCCAGCTCGTGTCCGATGGGGGTGACAGATACACAGTGCCATACGGACAGCTGTCCACGTGATTCCATCAGTTAAGGGGAAGAACACCACTTTCTCACTTAAGTAGGAGGCCTGTTTGAAATTTTTTCCTAAGGAATAATTCAAATTACCCTGTCAGAACCACTAAGTTCACATGAGAAAGGCAAGCAGACTCCCTATGGGGAACATACTGACTTTAAAAGGACACTCAAAACAAAATATGGTCTGAATTGTTGTAATGTTTGAGCAACAGGACAACCACCTTCCTTTTCCTTTTCAGAGCATCTACCTCTTCGCTGAGAAGCCATCATCTCTCCACTCTCCCACTCACACATCCCCTTTAGCCCCATCAAGCCAGTCTGATTGCAGCACATTTTAAGCCAGTCAGAAATAATCAGCTAATTCATTTTCACAAATGGCAAGAAGAAATCACCGTTGGCAAATGCTAAGCTGATGAATCAACGTGTAATAAAATGCACAATGAACTGCAAAGAATTACTCTGGTTTGGGTTTACTCAGTTCTGAAGGGAAACTCAGTTTCACCAAGACCGCCTTGCCTTTTCCATCAAAGGATCTCAATCCCTCTCAGCTTCATGTGTATCATTATCCCCACTTAGGGCTGAGGAAACAGAGAACGGTAAATGCTTACTTTACAGAATAGCAGGTATTTATAGACTGGATCACAGTTCAGAAAAAGCAGATGACATTAACTGCACAGAGATGGGAAGCAACTCTGCTGACAGGTGAGGAGGGGAGGAAGAAGGGAACTGTAAAAACTGAAAACCGTGATATTGTTGAAAAGGTAGGTGTTCACTGCCAGCTCATGAACCAAAGGATATTTGTCTTCCATGTTTATCCACAGAGAGAGGGCGTCGATGCGGGGAGCCGAGACGGTTTCTGTCACGATACACTCTGTCCACCAGACCATGATGCCGAGTTGTTCTGCTTGTGTCCAATCCTGATGACTGAAAAGGAGTCTGAGAGAGACATGTGAAGTTATAAGCAGAAAAATACATGCACGAGCACCCAGAACCTATTCACGTTGTATGCAAGGCTGTATTATTCTAAGGAATAAAACTCAAAAAAGATACGGACAAGTGTAGCCATGTAAATTTTTCATCCGACAACATTTTCACTACAGCCATGGAAAGCAATTACCAAGGCTATCTCTTCCAGACAGAGATTAGAGACAAGTGGAGGCAGACCATGCTAGACCTGCCCTCTCGTAAATCAGCACTGCTCTCCGACCTTTGCATCTCTAGAATACCACAAGTGAGCGTGGCAGGGAGCCTACTGCCAACTGCTGTTTACATTCCCTTGGTGCAGCATGCAGCATGCATCCAGAAGGAACATGCTGACAACCAGAGCTTAAACTACAAGGGCAGGAGATGCAGGAAGATGATGCACGGTGAGCCTAACATTCATCGGAACACGCCACGCTCCCTCAAAACTTCCCTTCACCCCTCCTTTCAGCATCATTATTTTAAGGGGACACTGATAGAATTGAAAGAAAAAGAAAAGCAGTTTCCTTCCTCCTCTGTCTAGAAAAAGTTACAGCACCCAGTATTTTTTAAGTGATTTTCATTTCTTTCAGGTTGCGCAGTGAACCTAGGTGGGTTGATTCCACTTTGAATCGTATCAGCGCTGTTATCTCGAGGGTATTTACGTGTCAGCAACTAATTTCAGACAATGAGGATGGCAGAGAAAAGACAGGGAAGATAAATTCCCAGGCTAAACCGGAAAACTTCTCCCACATTTTCAAGAGCCCTTCGCAGTGTATACCTGTGGGGAGGGGGGAAAAGGAAGTGCCGAATGGTCAACCTCTACTCCTACTTCAACAGCAATATATGGGTCTCTGGGGGAAAAAAAGCTACACAGTCTTCCACTGCTTGCCAATGTGAACAGCTTTGCTGAGTCCCTCAACACCATCTGTTTGGAAATCCAAAATTTCCTCCTCCATTCAGGTGCTGAACGTGGCAAACGCACTGTCCTCTCTGCCAAGCCATGAAACCATCTGGCTTCCACATTAATCTTTTTTTCTTTTTCTCTTTTTTTTTCTTTTAAAGTGTCCAGCTTTGGCTCTTTAAATGATTATTTCTAAAAAGTTTTACATTTATTTTTAAATGTTTTGTTTGTAATAATTTTTTAAAGAGTCTTTCTACTATTTTAAACTCTTTTCTATTTAGTAAATATTAGTCTCCTCTCCCTCTATGAACACATAACCGTGTTAATATAAATGGATGCAAAGTGGCTGTGGTGTTTATTTTCTCATTTCTGGGCCAACATTTTATATGCAGCAGAATATTGCTTAAGTCAACATGGGACTAGCAAGAGAGCACAGTGACTTTACCGTACTCTCAGTCATTAAGATCATGGTGTTTTGCTTCAGTTCCTTCACAAGTATGACTTTCTTATATGAAGACTTAGAAACCTCAAGTCATAGCATCTCAATTTTAAGTAATTTAAATTAAAACTTGTTGGTTTAATCTCTGCTGCAAACACTAAACCACAATACAGTTCTACCTAACCGGCACCACACAGAACTGGGAATATTCGTAATTCCAAAACAACAACAAAAGGTCTCAAACTCTTCCTTGTACTGTTGTTACATCAATTCATCAAAAAGGCAGCAAAATTTGCAAATACATGCATGCTTGGTAGGTCAACAGGAAAAGCAATTTCCTATGCCAGTGGTCCCAACCACAATGTTACTAAAAAAGGAGAAGCCAGTCTGAAGCATACAGAATGCAGACCTCACCTGGAATTTAAAAGGAAGCCAATGCATGTGAGCATACAAACAAAAAGCTGAATGCAAAAATAGTTACTTCTTGAGTTTTTCCTTTTTTTGGCACAACTTCTATACAAAAACACCAGAAAAATCTAATTTGAGTGGCACAAGTAAACATGGACCATGCCCCGTCACAGGGCTACAATTTACAGAGCGAGGAATTTTTGGGCAACGCTGTTGTCTGGCTTTCCAGGAACAAAGATCCCAAGTGAATCCCTAAGTTGCTTAGGGAAATCAGAAAAGACAACAAACACTCCAGAAAATGGGCATCACCTCCAACAGGTCTAGCTTCTCTCAGGAACCATCCCATGAAACTTACTCTGGACCAAACACCAGGCAACACACCTTCATTAAAATCCCCATCCCTGCAGGGCATGTGATGCTTAACTATAGTAAACAACTGCGATTAAAAAAAACCCAAAGAACAGATCTAAGCATCAATTTTATTTGGAAAATGAAGAACTAGAACTGTTTTGCTTCCCTGAAAAACATTCAAGGATTTGAGATCAGAACCAAAACTCCACAAAACATTAAAAAAAAGCAGCAGCTAAATACAGACGGGAAGGAAAAAGCTCAGCGCTCTAAAGCAACAGTGTCCCTTTAAGATTTATCAAGACGTTGACTTAAGGAATAAAAATGAGCAAGACGGATGAGGGGGAAAGTGAGGAGTGGTACCTACTGACAGGTCACATTTCGGTGCCCCCGGTGACAAGCAGCATTTGGGTAATCATTCTGCCTTTCCCGATGGAGTTTAACATGCAGGCTAAGTGCACATGCTCAGAGATTGCTTAAACCACAGGCCAAGCCAGTGCCAAATAAACCACCGTCTGCACCAAATTAATCCGCCATAAATCACGAGTAATCACATGACAGACCACAGCAAGTCCAGGGAGTCTGTACAGGAATTATTATGCATGTTCCAAACTGGGATGCATGGCAAAACCTGTATTTATGTGACAGACCATAACTCCTTTGGAGCTGGGACGGTGAATCAAATAAATACTGTGCATACCAGAAAAAGTGTAACATGTGCTAAAATACGTATCTACCTGGGCAAACAGTACACCAGTCCTAAATACGTATTTGCACAAACCTAAATACTTGTTTACCAAAGACACAGGAACTGCTCCAAAGGCTTCTGCCAGAGCTCCGTTGTGCTGCAAATGCAAAGAACCAAGATTCTCAGACACTAACGCTCTCCCCAGAGACAACCAGCCAGGCTTCACCTGATCGGCACATCGTACAAGTATCTTTTGGCAATTTCATCGTATTTTAGCTTAAAATTGAAAAACCTGGAAAGCATTCATCACTGATACAAACACATGACTTGTTTTGTTGCTTGCCACCATTTGTTATCTGTAACAGTATTAACTTTGGATTTGTGTGTGTGTGTGTGTGTGAAAAAAATATACAAAAACCTGGAGTTTAAGGACAATTTGTTTCCATATCCTCCTCCAGTCATTCATAAACTTTGGAACATTCACTTTCAAGCACTCTGTTAGCTTCAGGACTAAAAGAGTCTATGTAATAACCATCAGTGATGGCCATCGAGCACAAAAATACTGAAATACGATTGCTTAAAAAGAACAGTAGCTGTGAACCTCCGTAGCAAGAAACTAAAGACAAAAACTTGTTGAGACCAGACGTCTGTGGAGTAATGCTAAGGACTTCATAACATTACAAATCTCTGCACTGTATTCCCTAAAGGCAACCAGATTAAAATGGACATTTGCTTCTCCTCTTGCACGAGGGTCAATCTTTTAACCTCCACAAATTCAGCTGTCTACATGTATTTCAAAAGGCACTGTTAGATGTTATTGTCATCAATAGTTTCTCTGTATTTATTAAGTGAGCCTTCATCAGAAAAACCACAAACTGCAAAATTTAATTCTTACCACATCCGTGTGAGATAAAAGGTAAGTGTTGCTGCTCAAAAAAGGCAAACTAATGCAGAAATTTTAATTATTTTGAGCACTCTAAATCAACTAACTATAGAAATCAGGAGTCCCAAAATATCCATCACTAATCCTATCCACTATACAACATCTTATGTCCAAATATGTTTACTAACAGCAAAACTTTCATATAAAACAATAATTTTCTGTTTATAGTGCATTACCTCTGGAGTCACAACAGCAGGAGGAAAAAAAAAAAAAACAACAAAAAAACCCAGTACATTTCTACATTTACTTTTCAGGCAGACCAAGGAAAAGTGACTATTGTGATACTGGTTTGTGTCCCATTCCCCCTTCTCCTCCCCTAAAATCCATGCGTTACTCCCACGGAACATGCACACCACCATGGGGTGCTTCTTCCACACCCCCATCTGCCAGCGCTTTCCGCATCACCTTGCATTATTTGCTTCCACTTTTGCTTTGAGTCTACAGTATCTTCGCAGAAGATTTCATTATGAATTTGGTACTGAACAAAAAACCCCCCACCACCACCACGAATATTCGCTGACAAAGAAATTGCCTTGCCTCTGCGTATTCTTGACACAGAAGCATCACGACTGGGGACAGGAGAACTAATATCTAACACTAGATATATACAACACAAAAATTATAGATATATACAATACAAAATACTAGATATATTCAATACAAAAATACAACACACCCCATACACAACTACACTCCATTACAAAAGAGCAAAAAGTTTTAAACCAGGGTGACCTGCTGAGGCCATGGTGCCATGTTCTGAACAAGCAGCTAGCTCATGGTCTTCTGTGAGGAAAAAATAGCACGCAGGCACAGCACTGATCACCAAAAAAGAAAGAACCCCCCTATTAAACTCACCTGGAAGGGCAGATCCATGGCACTGTTTCCAATCTGATTCACATTTGGCAGTGACCCACCGTAGTACTGGGCACGACTCTGTCCCAGTTGCAAATACTGGGTTTTCTGCAGCTGTAACTGAAAGAAAAGGAGGAGGAAAGCGTAAGGACAACTCATTTATTTTTCAACTGCTTTAGCTGACTCAACTCGACACCATGTCCGTTATCGCCGAGAATGGATACCATCTATAAACAGCATGAATTCAACTTCTCCACAAAGCACGGCTGGCAAACTGCCACGTTAGGTCTTGAGTGATAGTGTAAAGTGATGGAAGAAAAATCAACTTCATCGTCAGCGATCGTATTCAATTTCCAACAAATAACCACCACGTGAAACCACATGGTTCTTATGTCACCTGCTATTCTGAAAACCGGGACATAAAAACCCCATGTCACTCAGACCATGACCCTAATATAAAAATTAACCAGCTGTTCATGTGTGCGATATACAAATAAGAAACTAATCTTAATTTAGTATATTGAGTATACTGTTTAACCAAATATTCAACTTTTTAGCAATCTAGATAACAGAGACGTCAGAGCAAGTTGTAGCTTTCCACCAGTACATAAGCGTTCTTGTTTCCTGCACCCACCAGGAAAAGCTCTGCAGGAAGGGCAGAGGCACAAGTTTTCAAAGCAAACCCAACCAACCAAAGCAAAAGAGAACAGCAAAGAATTCCTTACTGAACATGCATGAAAACAAATGTGACAGTCTGCAAAGTTTCACTAAATGCTAGGTATCACTCTCCAGCTCTGAATGACACCTCTCTACTAAAATATTCTAGTATGCTTTCCCGTAGTTGTATAGATTTCTGGTGTACAGAAAGGCGTGCAAGAAGAAGCTGTTTCTTTTCTACTCAAACCTCAACTTATTTTCCTTGTCACTTCTTTCAGAAGACTATACTGTCTCAACAGCTCGTTAATAAGCGCTACCATTTTTGATCAATCTTTTGTTAGTGACCTTTCTCAATTTTTTAGTTTAGTAGTACCAGTATTTAAAATAATTCCTCATTCAATTCTGTAAATGTTTCCACTCAACACATCTAGGTTTAATACCACGCTGCCACTGAAGCCCTATTTTACATTGATAAAGCAGAATTTGCAATCATCCGAACACAACAATCCTGCTCCCAGGGATGCATCTTCCAAGGACTCGAGAAACTACAATTAAAGTAGCAAAGAAATGAGCTTACATAAGTTCCCTCTCCTCCCACTGTGGAGGAGTACGTATTTTATAATGTATGTTGTTCCTCACTAGATGTCAACTGGCTGGTTTTGCACTCTGAAATGCAAGAACATTCCTAGATTGGTAGCAAAGGATTGTTTAAAGACTAAATGTTCAGATCTTGGACTAGATGCAGGTTGGTTGCTAAGGTACAGCAGTGTGTACATCAACAAATCTGGTTTAGTTTCATTCAAACAGATCCGAAAGCCTTTGTCTCGCAATGCCACAATTCTGAAGAGCAAAGTTTGGAAAAGTACTAGAAAACGCGGCATCCCCAAAACCGGATGTTTCTATGGGGTTTTTTCTTCACACTTTCTTCAAGCAAAGGAAATGGCAGGATGGAAACGAGTAGTCCTGCCTCTACAGCTTTACCACAAAGGCCCTGAGGTTGAGTGAAGATGTTTCTAGCAAAGCAAAGGAAGAGCTAGCACCTTCCGTGTTGACAAGGTGATGCATGCAGAGTCCCCTGATAAAACGGCAACACACAAGCAGGGACGCTGAGCGGCGGTGACAGTGAAGATACCACGCTGCGCACCGGTAGCACCAAGACAGGACAGAGAGCAAAGGGACCAGTCTGCTTACATCGTGCTGACACGATATAAGTATATATCGTATATTAATGTATGTATATTAATGTGGTCCCTCAACAGAGGAGGAGAAAACGAGATCACCCCGAGGGAAACAGTGCATGCAGTCTTCCGACTGTATCCCTAGGAAAGCAACTCAAATACCCTTTATTCACACAATCTCCCCTAGAAGCCACCAATTTCCAAATACACAGGCAGTCAAAATCTACTGCTTTAGCCGAGGGACCAAATCAATCCAAGGCTTCCAAGACAGCTCTTAGAGATGAAACCTCTGTATGGAGCAGGCGCTCTCAAAAGCCTCAACGATTTGGGCAGGACACCAGTCACAAAGCGGCTAATGGTTTTTTTCTTAACCAAAGGGCAGATAAATTCCCTCAGCCCGAAGACTTATAAAATATTCACAGTGCGCCGTATCAAACGGTTCAACAAGATCCCATCTAAAAAGCAGGAAAGTGCCCCCCTCCCCCCCCGCTTTCTTTTGCAATCTTTTGACACGCAATTACAATCCAGTGCTCTCTAAGCAATACATGAAATTAGAGAAACGCTCCGCGCTGGTATCATTTAATGAGTCACAGCCCCTCTAACTCATAGCTGCAGATCACTAAAAGCACAATATCAGAACTAGCTGTGCTTTTTGCCTGGCCCGTACATATGTTTTTGTTGTTAAAAAAAGGCTTGCTTGGGATGGGTGCCAAGCATTGAAGTAACTATTTCAACAGGTGTTGGTTTCTTTTAAAGAAGCCCGGGGGTGTGTGTGGGGGGGGTTGCTTTATGTTTTTTTAATGTTTTGGCCTTCCCCAGTACATACCTACCTCAAAGCGGAATGTAATAAGGAGGTCACGACCATTTGTCTTTCCACTGCAGTTCAACGTGGAAATGAGGAAACACAAGAGATCGAGAACTAAAGCGGTTCTCAAGAACGAGCTTGTTAAATGGCTTTGCAGTATCATTAATTTTAGTAACGCTACCTTCGATAAACACTTTTGGAGATCCATGCCAAAAATAAGAAAACCGATTGCTTGTTATTGCTATCATACATCATTACACCAGCGTGCAGATCTGTAGCGGTTCCTCTCTTCAGCCTCCTGCCTTCGCACAGCGAGCGGCCCCCAGACTACGCGGTTTATAGGAGACCATCAACAACTGCCACTTGCAATCTCTGAAGATCAAGCGTAAGCAGAGCAGGCCAGCGTGCCGAGCGCCTCAAATCTCCAGCTTTTTCGCTGGGAAGAAAGCGTTTTTAAATACCGCGACATTAGACCTTACTGTCATTCCAGCAGGAGATCTCAAGCAAGATCAGCTCAAGTCTTTCCTCAAGCAGAGGAGCAGCAAAAAAACCTGCAAATGTCACTGTCATGCTTCGAGATAACTCAGGAGTCTCACGTCTTACTAAGGGGACCTGTGCGCAAGGAAAAGCAGCGCTGAAAATGAAAGCAGACATCGGTTGTGACTAAAATGAACATTTCCTCCTTTTTCTGTAAAACTACCTTGCGAGGTAAATTAAGTATACTGCACAATTTGGGGATTGGGGATTAGGTTTGAAGAGGGGGGTTGTGGGGTTTTATTTTAAAAGGAAAAAAAAAAAAAAGCCTTTTCTTAATAGAAAAATTCAGATTACTCTTAAAATGTTAACAAGTCTCATGACAACTCTAGCTTTATCTCCTAGGGTTAGATTCAATTAGTGACAACTTGCTTTCTATATGAATTTAGATAGCAAAGTATGATAATGAATTACTTAGTGTTCACCAGACATATTAATTTCTTGAACCATGAGAACTCAGTGACTCTACATTACAGCTTTTCCATTTATGTATTATGTGGCCAAGATAATAGCTCCTTGACAGTTGAAAATACTGCTAAATTCCAGGTCTTTCCTGAGAAAGCTTTTGGTAAGGAAAAAGCTTTTGCTTGTTAAACAATTTTGTTTCTGCTTGGCATTCTTGCTCAGAAGAAATGTTTCCCAAACGACAGATCCTAACTGAATCTCTAATTTTCCCTCCACCAGCATTTCTCTTATGCTACTTAAAGAAAAAAATGAAGATTTTAAGTTAAAACCCAATTTAACCGTTAAAAACCAAATACTTCTGCACAAGCAGTTTTCTAGAATAGCTGAAAACATTCCCCAAATAAAAGGTTGACACACTGTTGGTTTGCCAGATTTGAAGTTATGTTAAAACCAATAAATTGCTGCAATGCTTCAAGAGTAACAATCTGCGAGGCAGTAGCAGCATCTTTACAGCAAACAGGAAAGGAATCATTACCTTTCCATGTACTAATCAGGAGTTTGCAAGCAATTACATTCTTAACTCAGCCATCAGCTGAATAACATGACGCGATCTTACTCTGGTTAATGGCACTAGACACACACAACGCTGGTAAGAAATCAAAAATTTTCGATTTAACACAATCACTGACTTGCTAACAATGGAACACTCTTCCAGACACTAGCTTTTACGTGAACCCGTTTATATGAACTACCTCAATTTTTCCATTTGGATTGGGTTAAAGTTTGCTGGATGTACAGCTGTGTTTGTAGGGAGAGATTCAAGTTAAACAATAATTAAAAAAGAAGGAGAGAAACACATCCCTCAAAGCATATCCAGTTTTCCTACAGACTTTCTAAGTGTCCAAAATATGCAGATGGGAATCAAAGGAAGCATTTTACTAAAATTCAACACTTCAGCTTCTCTAAATTCTTCCCCCAAAAATCTGGGCAAATTACAAACTTATGGACAGAACTCAACTGTAATCAGACAGCAAATCTGACGCTAGAATGAAGTCAATCAAAATCCACTCTAACTGCTTCTTTTAAAATGCCCTTTTTAATACATAAAAATTTGATTCCCATAAGTGCAATAAAAGGGTGGAGTGTCCTTTTGATAAAAAAAACCCTAAGATATCTGATGAATACAGGAAGTAAGATTTCATGATAACTGCTCTTTTGCTGGTTTGCAGTTTCCATACCAAGCTTTCTTACAAATTTTAGCTTTCCACTTTAGAAAGCTTTCTCTTTAGCACGTTGATGCTAATAAGCAGCAAAACGAGTGCAGATTACAATTAGAAATGTCTTATTGAAGCTTAATTGGAAATGAAATTCTGTTTAAAGGATTAACTGGAAGTTTTAGAGACTGCATGATAGGCAAATCCTGTTGTTCAAGTCAGTTCCAA